ACCGTAAAAGTTTACTAAATTAATTTTCTCTATTTACTCGCTGGTCTCTTTTTAAATTTTTGTTGTATCTGATGCGTAGTATACGGCTTTCATTGCTACCGAAAAGTTACATCAACGATACTAATTACAAGCACTTTAATTTCAATCAATTAGGTTCTCTTACTTTCTCTATTGTATCATATATCTTCCCAGAAGATTAACCTTTCGATTATGCTTTTTTTTTCCTTATGAAGTACTCAATTTCTGCACTTACGTATCATTTCCTTGTAGCTGCATAGGTGGGACAGTTTTTTGCTTCATTAATGCCTTATAAATGAGCTTTTTTTTCAGGTAATAAATTGGACACGTTCTGTGGTAGTCCACCTTACGCAGCTCCAGAGTTATTCCAGGGAAAAAAGTATGATGGACCAGAAGTGGATGTTTGGAGTTTAGGAGTTATTTTATACACTCTTGTCTCGGGTAGTCTACCTTTCGATGGACAAAATTTGAAAGTACTTCTTAATGTTTTCTTTATTCTGCAGTATCTATTTGCGGAGAATGAATGAGTCGGAGTTTTTAAAAAGTTAAAAAAGTCATGTTTCTCACTTTTAAGTTTTTCAGGAATTAAGAGAAAGAGTACTGAGAGGAAAATATCGAATACCGTTTTACATGTCAACTGACTGTGAAAATCTTTTGAAAAAGTTCCTCGTACTTAATCCAGCTCGTAGAGGAACATTGGAGACAATCATGAAAGATAGGTCGGCGTGAGTCATTTTCTATTTCTTTATGTTCGCATTATAATTTTTTAATTAAATTGTTTTCTGATTTTCTGTGTGGTGTTCTTCCGGCATATAACTTGTATTTCAGGGATTAATGCTTAATGCAAAAAATTAATCATTAATGCAAAAAGTCAAGTCATATCCATATTTTTATGTGTTTTAGATGGATGAATATAGGTTATGAAGATGATGAGTTGAAACCATATGTCGAACCACCGAAGGATGTTAAAGATGAAAATCGAATAGCCGTTATTCAACAAATGGGATACAGTCGTAATGCAATAGTGGTATCGCTCGACAAAGGTAGTTTCGATGATCTTCATGCCACCTACATTTTGCTGGGAGAGAAAAAACGCGAGGTAAAGTTTATGAATTGTCCAAGGCATTAATGTGGCCATTTGTAATTGGAAAATGAGCTGTTGACCTTAACGCACTTATTACAAGAATTTTTTTCATGAGGCTTACTATGCTGTTTCATGATTGTTTGTTATTTGGGCTGAATTGAACCATCGGTAACATTGCGTTTCAATTTATCCAACTTAGAGAATCGAAATGAAAGCTAGTAAAGCAGCTTATGACTCTCGGAACTGAAAATCTTACTAATATTTGGAACTGATTTAATGAAACGTCTTTTCATTTCCTCAGATTTTTTAGCTTGATGGAGAAGCTCTCCTAAACGCGCAACTGAATCCTGCATCAGCACAAAGTGTGGCTCATGGAATAACGCAGGGTCAAAGTCCGCATACCCAAGTTCCCGCTTCTACTGGTTTTGCTATGGTAAAGTTCTGATTTAAAAGCTTTTTTTCAGGTATTCATTCTTTAGAATGGAGAAGATATAGAGAGTTTTTAGTTCGGGAAACTTTCGAGTCGATACCTAAATATCGGAATCAAAATTATGGAATAAAATTCTTTGAAGTGTTTAAATTTAAAAACATTTGTTTGAACAGGATTTTCAGACCCAGAAGTTTGTGCCTCGTTCAACATCAGCCCAGGTACCATCAATTAAGACACGACGCGGATCACAAGAGCAAACGATTGCACCAGCTGCTCAGCTTCCAACAACTCTTCTACCGTCGGATATTCATGTCACAACACCACCTGGGACACAACGAGTCATGTCTGGTGTAGCACCAGTTGCGATGCGACACGTCGTTGGTCCACCAGGCGGTCGGCAAGCGCTTAGTATGCAACCGGGTCATATAAGTAAGTTATCTTGTACTGCAGAAGTTTTGTTATCGTTCCCTCAAGGATTTTTCTGTCGTTGTTGTTTGACTGAAATTATGCGTTCAGTTATATTCGTGAATCTTATAGTTCGTTTCAGTGCCTAATTATCCGTCGAATGTAATGCAAGCTGTTGGAAGTGGTGTACAAGCCGGTGCTGTTCCTGTTTCTGGATTTAGGAAAGCTTCCGTTCCTGCACGGACACCACTATCTAATTTAGGAACCAGGGGGATTTTACAACCGGGACCACGATTTGTGTATCCGACAATTGAGTGAGTTTCTCGCATTAACGAAGTTATATTTTTCGATTACTAGTATGGTCAACCATGTAGATTCAGAGATAGGACCTCTTGTTAGCAGTACAGTTTTAGAGGCACAAAAAAATTGAGCAGATTATCCAAATTAAGATCTTATGGTACTTATGTATAGATGCACGTGTGTGTTTCATTTGACTGTAATTTGGCGTTTTACAGTACGAAAGGTTTGCCCAAGAGTATCACTGGGTCGTCATCTGCTCGTGGTACTCCAAGTTCACCATTTTCTTCAAATTCTGCACAGCAGAAGATCACATCACTGCAGGTATTTTGACTACTGAATCTTTTTGATCATTTGCTTTGTTTTCTTCATGTATGTAAATTATTTTCCAAATATCCCGAGGATTTATGAATTCGAAAAGTCTTTGTTTCTAGAAAAGCGGTTCTATTTCGGCGACGCCAAATGAGCCGTCGATCAAGGAGGATGACAATGAAAACGGTGAATTGTTCGCTGGTAATGGTGATAGTGGGAAAGCTGAACCAGCAGTTACGACACACGCAACTACCGATAAAGACGTCGATATTGGTCGTTACGGTGGTAGTGATGCCGATGATGCAAATGCTACCGCGGTTTCATGGCAGCAGTCGCCTGCATCAGCAACAGCTCCAATAGTGGAACAGCCGGAAAAAAAGGGGAAAAGTATGTGAATGATTTGTTCAAAGTTTTGTTGGGGGAATTACCGGATGTTTTTGGTGTATTGTAAGAAAAGTATTCCAAATATAAGTTATTTCGATTTTCATTCTGAAATGCGCCAGAATCGCTTTCCGAAGATCTACTGTGTGCTCCTGGATAGTGTGAAAGTACTTCATTTTGAAGTCAATGCATATTTTTCCTTTTCGTGTTGAAATGATTGTGTTTTCTGAGAATTGTTATCTTTCATGTGTTATCGTCGTAATTTTCTGTTTCCCATATTTCTGATGAACAAGACTGTGGCATTCATGAGACATCCACTGATATTTCATCGAAATCAAGCGCACTTCTGAAAATGTTTATATTACAGATATCCAGAGCTGGAGTCAGATAGAGTTTTTAGAAATGGAGAATCTATCTTTGCATTTTTATATTGAAACTCCTTCCGTGTAGAATCGGTGTGAGAACCTTTGCAAAGCAGTATATTGCCACATTTCTTGCAACGGTCGTAAATATATTTTAATAAATTATCTATTGGATTTCATCTAACCATGCATTGATATTTTCTTTTTTTCGCTATATTTGCAGCAATAATATGTAACATATAATGTTTTCCCTTATAATTTTTTGTTTGTCTTCTGTTTTGGATTCCAACTGACGAATCATTTTTCGGGGTTAAAGGTCGATTCAAAACAATTCGGTTACTGTTGGGATTTCATGAACCTTGATTTGTGGAACTAAACTTGGACTGCCTAAGCAAATTTCAAATTTGTGGATCTTTTTCGAAAATCTTGGGGATTTAGAAAAACATCCTTAGTTTGAATGACTGATCGAGAATTTATGTGGATTTGAACTGCTGAAAGATCTTTCAAAGACATTGTTGTCAGTGTTGATTTATTCATTTCAATTATAATAGCTTCGGTTTGATTTGCTTTTAATTTCCCTGCCAAAATTTAGGTGTTTCCTCAATGAGCGATTGTATACAATTTACTAATTTTCATTAAAAATCTGTTTGCTCTTAAACGAAATTCAGTACTTGATTTTTTTAAAGGATTTTTAATAACAAATACTTGGTTTTGGTGTTATATTGCTGCTTAGTCAATGCTTCTTCTTGCAGAATCTTCGCGTATTTTCGTTAAAATCAAACATTTCAATATTTCGCCATTTCAGGCTTCATCAGAGCGCATCTGCACAGGCAGTTGTTAAAAATTCAGCAATTAATGAAACATCGCCATCTGCATTGTTACCACATTCACAGAATAACAGTCCAAAGTTGACTAAATCTGCAACTGGTACCGCTCTGAATCCTGTTTCGGTGATAGCGGTATGTTTCATTTCAAATAAAATTTACTTAGTGCTGAATTCTTAAAATATGTGCGATAACAGTCAGGATTAGTGGAGAACATTTTAGGTATATCCCGAATGGATAGGTTTTCAGTTTGATTTTTTTTCCTTTTTTTTCTAAATCCGCATATTTTTATCCTATTGAGAATATCAAATCACAGTATGTAAGGGCCAAACCGACTAGATATTTGGCGACACTAATAATTGAAAACATTGATTTTTTGAAAAATTGAAACATTGGTTCTCTTTGTAACATTTTAACAATTAAATTCTTTCGTTTTAGTCTTCCCCAGACACACAAACTGTGCCATCAGCCGCGGTGTTAAGTACGCATAATACAGCAGTACAAAATGCTGCCTTTCCTAGACATACTCGTAACAGGCAAACATTTCATGGAAAAACGGAGCACAACAAGGTTTCTTTTTATCTTTTTATGAATTTCATGTAATGTAAAACAGCTGATACATACGATCGAAATTATGACAATTTTATTTCGGAGGTTGATTCTAATTAGTTAAAAGAATCGAGTTTTTTAACAGAGTTTGTACTTTCTTCATTACTTTCTGAATTACAGGGAAACATGGATGATGACGTTGAATCGGAAGTAGTACATGGTACTGGTAACGCATCGGGCAATGGTGGTCCACGTGGATCATTTCTCTCCAAACTGTCCAAGCTTACTCGTCGGTTAGTAGTTCCATTTCAGTTAGATCCTGATCTAAATTTCGGTTAAATAAGCGCTTATATGGACGATTTCCCTCAGCGGTTTTACCGTCGTATTCGGAGCTTAATCCCAGCTTTTACTGCTCACTTTACTAATTTTTTTTAATCATATATAAGATAAAGAGCTTTCACATATTCACATATAAAGCAAAATGTTTGCTTTGCTTGCAAGTTTCTACTGTTATGCTTTTACTAACCGAGATTTTCTTTAAAGAGAGTTTTGACATATTTTGGGATATTTTAGAAAACGAATTCAAAAATTGGAATTTTATATGATCTATAGTAAGCAATTTGGTTTAATATAAGTGCAAAGCTTGCTGGGCGTATAATCTAGGGAAGAACCACCTATCCAGTATTGCATTCTGGAAAGGTATTTTTTGAACAGTATAAGTAGCACTTATATTGTTCCCTGCATTCTTGTTACACGCGAAATGGTTCTGCATTTTTATGAAAGTATCAGTTATTTATTGGGAAGAATTCAACTGCAGTTTACTTTCAAGAGAAAATTTTGGCTGAAAAACACTATTATCGATTCTTTAAGCAAACTGTTAATCGATATGTTACATTCTTCAGCACTTCTGGAATGTTTTTTTAATTTCTATACTGTGGCAATATTACGTTTCCTTAAAAATTCTGGAGGTTGTTGCTGCAAAGCTACAGAGGTGTCTTATGAATTAGTTCATCATGAATTTCCGTAAAAGTCATTTTCAACCTTTCGAGTGATTCATTTAATTTATACTGAAGTATATGATATATGGTTATGGTGATGGTTTCTTCCTTCACCATCGTTTATTTACATGCATCGAACATTCCATTACTCACCCATTATCGGCATTTTGCACAATGCTAAACCATTTCCTCCATGCTCACATTTTAGTCATCTAAATAGTAATTCAACTGGTTAGCTGTCGAATAGTTATTTGGATCAGAATTCAGAGGTGCTTTCTTCCGGAAAAGCAACGGTTTCATATTTTGTCGAATAATTTGCTAGTGCCGTTATTCGCCCACCATATCTTTTACATTGAACTGTTTAATTTATTTTATCTTGATACTTCGGGTGGAATCAGTTGTTGAACATTCTGAATAGGACGAATTACATTTAAGTATTTCATTTTCTGTTGCTCAGTAACAAATTTGTTGATCTTGATATGCATCTTCCATATAGTGTGCATTGTCGGAAGTTATCCATCATAGTTTTTTCCTCATTTCTAGGACCATAAGAATTTTAAATTGTCTTTCCCTTTCGGCTTCAAGAAAGTATTGCTTCCGGATTTGCTACGAACACTGGGATGTTTTGGAAAGAGATATTGTAATTATATCTGAAAGTGGCTCTAATTATCTTGATTATCTTGTTTACCAGTCTTTATCTTATCTTTGCTGATTCCTTCGAATCGTGTTTATCCCATAAGAGAGTCATATATTTAGCCGAATGTTTGATTGCATACACGTATCTTAACTTTTTTTCTTTGCAGATCTTTAGATGAGATCCTTTTCTATAATAGCTAGTTCTTATTCCGAAGTTGTGTCCTTACCACTTCAGGATGCATTATTTTGCTTATTTAAAGGCACTTTTTTAACTTCATTCATTTCTGACGATCATCTCCAAGTTACTCTTAATTAAATTTTTTTTTTTTCAAAATGAAGTGTTCTTGGATTTGCTTTTTATTTAACAGGAAAGATTTTACAATGTGCGCTTCTTTCGTTTCTATTTTTTGCGTTTTTATTTGCGGTGCTAGCACGGACTTTCCATCTACAAGGGTTTTAAATTTATGTTAAAAAAATTTCGCTTAACCTCTTCTAAATGCTTTTTAATTGGTTGCCTTACGAACAGGACAGTTTCGAAAAAAGGCACTTTAATTTAGAAAACAAAAAGTGCGAAATAAAAAGTGAAAGTCTTTGGGGATTAATTTCTTTAAGTTCCTCTATTCTACTATTCTTTGTTTGTAGTGGTTCATCTGCTCAGCAAAAGTCATCATTATCATCATCATTATCATCGCACCACCACCACCATCATCATCATCAAAATTATCCTTATCAGCAGTATGCTTCATCTGTTCGCGGTACATCCGCATCCACCCGGGAAAACGACTTATCTAATAGCCCCACGGTACTATCACAAATTCGTTGCTTTTCCGGTCGTGGTACTTCAATAAATCAACAAGCTTTACCTTTGCTCCTGTCACCAATAGCCATGAAGCAGGCAATCCAACGGCATTCATTTGCTGGTAGTAACATTAACACCAATGGTATCATCAACAACTACAATGGTTCTAGTGAAGCTAATAATGTGCAAGCTTTAAATATAAGGCTTTCATTGCCGGTCAGACCTCTGTCGGTGTATGTTGGTAGCAGTTCCGGTACGATGTCGCCAAGCTCTGACCAAGTAATATCGCAAACATTAGTTACTCCTCAGTATGATTTATTTCATGTCAAGCCCTCCCGTGGTTTACATTACTCGAATTCCCTGTCCACTGGTAATCGCTGCCATTCACCAATATTTCCTGCTCCTCTGGTACATAAAGTAGTACCTCAAACACCAGATTGTTCAGTAGATGCTTCCGCAGTGCTCCTATCCCCGAATCTTGATCCCATATTTCCTCCGAGCAGTGTGAGTGATACCATGCGATCGTCCAGTGATTCGATCCAATCGTTTAGCCCGTCGATGGCATCGTCAAACAGTGGTACCGTTACTGGAGGAAACCATCATCATAACTCGAGAGAGGGTGATGCATGCAATGTCCAGTTACCATCAACGTACTATGCGACTGGTACTGTTGGTAGTGGACCATCATCAACCTGTGCATCATCTGTATATCAATCATTGCGCAGGACACCAATCGTGGGAATTGCTGAAGGATCTGCTCTCACCACGACGTCACCACCAACACCAAGTAGCACCAATGAAATGGTTAAACATAGTGGTAGAAGTGGGACTATTGGACCGACTACCGGTATTGCTGGATTTAAACGATTAAACACTGCTCAGCAGCATCATGGTCAGTTTCTCATGACACCAAATGCAACACTGGGCGCTGGCTGTGATATGTCAAATGGTGATGAAGTGAAACCACGATCATTGCGGTTCACGTGGAGTATGAAAACTACGAGTTCTTTAGCACCCGAAGAAATGATGAAGTAAGTTTTTGAAGTTAGATTTTGATTCAGTATAATGCATACGATAGATTTTGCCTTTTTGCTTCATTGTTTTGGGCTTTCTTAATCTTTAATCGAAATTTTCTGGAGAATCTGTAGTATGAAATGTAAAATGACCAAATGTTATCTTATACTTCAGTATGCTTTTCGATCATGTGTAGGAAATTCTTCTATGTGTTAAATACATATGTATGTATGAGGAATAAAACTGATTTTTAAACTTCTTTCAATTATTTTAGGGAAATTCGGAAAGTTTTGGACCAAAACAATTGTGATTATGAACAACGTGAGAGATATTTATTATTATGCGTACATGGTGATCCCAATACCGACTCGCTGGTACAATGGGAAATGGAAGTAAGCTATATTTTTTGCTAGAATGTGTGAGTTTTGACATTTATATATTATTGAAATTTTCAGAAGTGTTATGATAATTGAAGTAATATCGCTTTTTTTTTTTATCGACTATTTTCATGGATATGGATGTCTGAGATGATGTTGACGAGCACATTTAGGAATGCTCTTGAAAACTGGAGGAAGGAAAAGCAAATATTTAAATTATTGAACGAACAATTTGCATATTTTTTTAAGGTCTGCAAACTGCCAAGACTGAGCCTAAATGGTGTTCGATTCAAACGAATATCGGGGACATCCATTGGCTTTAAGAATATTGCATCGAAAATAGCACAGGAGCTGAATTTGTGAGAACATCGGAGTGGCAAACAAGTTGTTCTAATTAAGATGTTGAAATTTCTGTTAATTCGGATTAATTTTGGGCGAAAGATATCCTTGACGGTAAATTTTGAAAATTTTGAATTAAGGATATGAAGACTAATTACTGTCTTCACCACCGCTTTCCAGTGGGACTTTCCCGAGGTTTTTAGCGTGATGATTAACATAATGGAAAGTGAGAATTTGGGAAGATTTCCCATTTTCCTCAAATTTATTTGTGATTTATCTTATACTCGGCAAAAATAATTGTCCTCAGCTTGAATTTCATCTGTTTTTCTTGACCTGTTCGTTTTGTGTCATCACACCCGCTGCATTATTTTCGAATTTAGGTCTTTAAAATCTGTGGCACTATTGTAATCCAGTAGAATTAGCTTAGTATAAGTTATAGGATTTGGATTTTGGAAGATAAATTTGTTTCTTCGGATATTTTTGGTAAATGCAATGTAATCGAAGGGGAAATTTCTCGTGAAACTTTGTACGAATTCCTTTTTTCACATAGAAATTGATATAATAATGAGTGATCCTCTATTATTTTTGTCAAATTAATCCCATTCCGGTTTGTTGAGGATTGTTATTTTTCATGGTAAACTCTGACTGTTGGAATCATCGATCATCAATTCGCACGGTACCTCTTTAATGATCCTTGCGAATATTTCGAAATTTACAAAATTCTTTCATATCATCTACGGTTTTAATCGTCTTTTTGGCAGTGATGTATTGTTTAATTTACTCTGCCTTTAAGTACCATATTGTGCTGTATCGGGGTATCTCCTTTATTACCTGATATGGTTATCATATAGTAGTAATAAATATACTAGTAGTAGTATCTGTGTCTTCATTGATGGTAATGCACTTTTCTTATATGATGAAAATTTTCTCGAGAAGTCTCATTTTTTCCAAAATTTTTTAATCCCTTAAAATGGATATGTCACGAACATTTGTGCGGCACTCGATTTTTAGTTCGTTTTGATTGTTACTCTTTTTCTCTCAATTTGAACCAGAGTTTTACCACTATAATTTTGAATTTGAAATTGACAATGAAAATTCAAGTTTAGATACAGATATTATGTGTTTTTTGTATTTTTGTAAGATTGCTCGGTGTGGCTTTTTCCAGAGAGATTATTTCCATTGGGGATCAAAAATCGTATTTCTTCTTATGCGCTGGGTTAAAAGATTAAAAGACGAAGAGAAACCTATTGCAAATTTCAAAGTTTTCTGGCACGTTATGTAAAGGAATCAGTTGTTTCAAATCCGCTGCATCTCTATTAAAAAATATGTGATTTATTCTTCTTTATTCTTTCATCTTGTCATCTCTTGTCGTTTCTCAATTTTTTCAACGCCGTTTTTTATACATTAAATGTTCAGTTTTAGTTTTTATTGATTTACTAGCCATCTCCTTGATTATGGCTCTATATCTGGACATCCAGCTCTCAGAAAAAATTCTAAGAAAAAATTAATTTGTAGAATTATTGTATTGTATGTTTAACGGAACGGAAAATGGAAGTTCTCTCCGGATTAATTGTTTTATTTATTGTGATTCAGTCTTTTTTTGTAGTGAAGAAAAAGATTTCTTGTTTGTCCAGTCGATTTCTTTTTTTCTACAGATTTGAGAAATTCATGGGGTCTGATTTCCTTCCCATTTTTGTTCTTTTGACTTGACATTCATGGGTTTTTAGAATCGTTCTTGCGCATATTTTGCAAAGAGTTTAATGAAAGACAAAGTCGAACATAAATTTTTGGGAACTTGGATGAACGGAGATGGAGAAATGGATCAGCCTGTTTCGAATCTCAAAGTTCGAGAGTAGCGCAGCTAAAAATGAAAGGAAGCAAAGGTTTGTATCCTCGCTATTCTGAGTTGTTGCTCCCGGTTGAATTTTATATCTCTTCCTATGTTTCTTTCGGGATTCAACTAATATCAGTCTCGTGTGTTATAATTTTTTCCGATGTTGCAGGATTGCACCGTCTCGTCCTCTTATTAACCGATATCTTCACAGTAATTGTGAATCGCACATTTCTTTAGAGACCTCTCCTCAGCACGGCGTAGCAGTTTCAATGTTGAATCCCAAAAGATCAAAGATTAGGGACTCGGTTGTCGGAATCGAAAGGCTTTACTTATCATTGATTAGATTGCCAAGATGAATTTCTCCTAGTCATTGATACTGTATCGTTAAATTAGATCTCTACGATAGAATTACTAGTCTTGTTAGTTGAGCGACGCAATGCAGCTTTCGTCCTATCGCAAGCACGGATGCATATGCAACATGAAGGACCTTGGACTGGTATGAATGAGTCCGTTTTCAAATATGGTACTTTTATCTCCCATTTCAAATACGAGAAGCTGTCTCTGCTTTTGGAAGATTGATTTCTCACCAAGTACTATCATTTTTACGAGCTGGAATTTTGACAGTGATCTGTCTGAAATAAGTGACTGCATATCCTCCAGCCGTACTTACTTCAATGAAAAAGAAAAGTTGTCAAAAGTCGAAATGCACAATGGTTTGGGTATAAATGTACATCCTAAAGCATATTTTGCTCTCCCTGCTTATATATTAAAATGACGTCTGATGATGCTTTGGAGAACTCCTGCTTGCACATGAAAGTATCCGGTTACCACTGGCATATTCACGGTGATTAACATCATTTTAATTACTTGAAAACGTTTACAATTTGATTGACTTCTCTTGCTTCTTAGTCGGCATTAACAATGGCAGTGATGGATGATACCGCGATGTTATCAAGATTTAAAGCTTGGGATTTGTTTTTTTTTTTTCAAGGCAGATCCTTAAAATCATAAAGGAATGAAATGAGAGGAAAAGATATATGATTCTGTGCACAAAAGCGCACAAATACATCAACAGACAACCTCAAATTGTCTTTTTGTGAGAATTGTCATATAAGATTGCGAGGCAATCTTATGCAGTGCATAAATAATAACTAGATGAATTTAGTTTAGTAGAAAATGATAATGCAAATCATTTTTCTTGTTGCATTCTGTTACTTCCATTTCTGCTTCATAACTTTCTGGAAAATACCTTAAGGGTTCCTTTAAAAAATTAAACAGATACAGAGCACAATCAATAAATTATGTATAAGGGATATGGGAATTATGTGATATACAGTTGTAATGGTAATAACATAATAGTATTGAACTATAAAATTTAACTGACATGTAAATATTTAGCTGATTATCTACAACTAAACACACAGCACAATTAATAGTTAATAGACAGGGGGAAACTGGAATAAAAAATAAGTCGAAATTTCAAATTGAATGGACGGATATGCTATTCTTTAGAAGATGTACAACTTTGGGGAAATAATTGAGAAGCTGAAGCTGACAGAGCAATTTTTCCTCCACTATGATTTTCGTGAAGTTGTCAGCTCAGCCTGATTAACGACAGCAAATTTTTATGGAAATAAAGTCAGAATATGTTTATGGATAAATGAAAGTTTCCTTGCTTAAAAGTCAGAGTGATTGCTGCACGAAGTCGTCTCTATGATTTTTGTTTTTTTTTCTTTAAAACTAGCTCAAAAAATTAAAAATATCTCAATTTATTACTATTTTTAGAATAAATATATTCGAATTTAAAAAGCTTTATTTAAATTCATGGGAAAAGGGTCATGTTTAATACATATATATCTTGCGGAAACCGTATTTTTCTGATGCAAAATAAAGCAAAAAAGGAAAAACGAAGAATAGAAATACTACTGCGATTGTTGACGATGATGGTAATGGTAATGAAATTCTGCTTAGGAAACAGTTTTCAACCTCTCGGCTCTGTAGAATGTTTTTCTGCTTGTTCTTCGAAAATCCATTCACCATTGAAATGATCAATACGTCTGGCCTGCAAAAGCACGATCTTCATTATTCGGAAGAAAAATTTAATCTCAATTAAAAAAGTGAGTTTTTTTAGTCATTGTTTGTTGAGTTGAAACTGAAGCTAAAAAAAACCCGTAAATGACACTGATAATAACAGGAAAGCATCGGTACTTTGCATAATTATGGAGGACATTTGCGATTTTTATTAAACACCTAACAGGAATGCTATCAGCTGATTATTTAATGCAACAATTGGCGCGACAGCGATGCGAACACAAGCTTGATATGATCCCGTAAGAGCAACGTACAAATCAAGAGTTATAATGTTAGAAATGAAATCATTCCGTTTAAATGACTTACTGGATTATCTAAACACTTCAAAATGCATAATAGCAATTCATTACCAATTTGCAAAGAAAAATAAGAAGAGGGAACAAACCTGTTCTAAGCCAAGTTCAATTTTTGATAATTCTCTTATCTCATATTTTTTTACTTTACCCGTTACTGTCAGCGGAAATTCGTTTTCTTTTTTGAATAAAATATATCGTGGGATTTTGAAATGTGCAATCTGTAAAAATGTATTTTTGGATTAAGTCAGAAAGAAATGAACAGATTAATTTAATAAGCACATTTTTTTGAAGTAATTATTTGTTATAAATGCTTTTGCAGATTATGGTCAAAATCTGAAGCAATTTTTCATGATCGATGAGTAACTATTAGAAATGATCATCATATTCTTACTCGTCCTTTGCAGAAATTTTGGATATCTTCCTCTGTAATATCATCTGCTGAATCATGCAGCCGTATCCATGCACATACTACTTCGCCATATCGTTCATCCGGTACACCAACAACCTAAAATAACAGTGTTACAGGACAGTAGCGACCATTTCTTTTTAATTAATATCTTTTTAAATCAACTGTAGTTGAGAGTCCTGCGACCGTGTTAAACGATTCTGATCAAGAGAGAGGATTTATCATATACGGAAATAAATTTTGCTTACAATTCTCTAACCTAAAAAATTGATAAATAATTCAAACGGAGGATTTGAATAAATTGATTATTAATACCTGTACATCTTCGATTTTTGGATGTCGGAACAGATATTGCTCAATTTCCAGTGGATAAATATTTTCACCACCACGTACAATCATATCCTTTTTTCTGCCAACAATACTCAGTGAACCATTTTCATGCATAACACCGATATCACTGTAAATAAAAATTTCGTAACAAACGGCCGGTCTAATTAAGGTAACAATGGTATTGCAAGAAGAGAAATAAATCATTACTTCGGAAGTTCAAATAGTTAAATAAAAAAAAGCCTGCAACTGACCCACTGTGATACCATCTATCAGCTGTAATTTCTTCTTTAGTCTGAAGTTCATTATCCCAGTAGTATTTCATCACGGAATAACCACGAACAGTACTT